TCAGTGGGGAAGAATGTCCTTACATTGGGGGTCAGTGGGAAGAAATGTCCCTTACATTGGGGGTCAGTGGGAAGAATGTCCCTTACATTGGGGGGTCAGTGGGAAGAAGAATGTCCCTTACATTGGGGGTCAGTGGGAAGAATGTCCCTTACATTGGGGGTCAGTGGGAAGAATGTCCCTTACATTGGGGGGGTCAGTGGGAAGAATGTCCCTTACATTGGGGGTCAGTGGGAAGAATGTCCCTTACATTGGGGGTCAGTGGGAAGAATGTCCCTTACATTGGTGATTCAGTGGGAAGAATGTCCCTTACATTGGGTGGTCCGTGGGAAGAATGTCCCTTACATTGGAGGTCAGTGGGAAGAATGTCCCTTACATTGGGGGTCAGTGGGAAGAATGTCCCTTACATTGGTGATCAGTGGGAAGAAAATGTCCCTTACATTGGGTGTCAGTGGGAAGAATGTCCCTTACATTGGGGGTCAGTGGGAAGAATGTCCCTTACATTGGCGGGGGGGTCAGTGGGAAGAATGTCCCTTACATTGGGGATCAGTGGGAAGAATGTCCCTTACATTGGGGGTCAGTGGGAAGAAAGAATGTCCCTTACATTGGGGGTCAGTGGGAAGAATGTCCCTTACATTGGTGGGCAGTGGGAAGAATGTCCCTTACATTGGGGGTCAGTGGGAAGAATGTCCCTTACATTGGTGGGCAGTGGGAAGAATGTCCCTTACATTGGGGGGTCAGTGGGAAGAATGGTCCCTTACATTGGTGGGCAGTGGGGAAGAATGTCCCTTACATTGGGGGGGTCAGTGGGAAGGAAGAATGTCCCTTACATTGGGTCTTGGTGGGAAGAATGTCCCTTACATTGGGGGTCGGGGTGTGGGTGGGTCGGTGTGGAAGAATGTCCCTTACATGGGGGTCAGTGGGAGAATGTCCCTTACATTGGGGGTCAGTGGGAAGAATGTCCCTTACATTGGGGGGTCAGTGGGAAGAATGTCCCTTACATTGGGGGTCATTGGGAAGAATGTCCCTTACATTGGGGGTGATCAGTGGGAAGAATGTCCCTTACATTGGGGGTCAGTGGGAAGAATGTCCCTTACATTGGGGGGGTCAGTGGGAAGAATGTCCCTTACATTGGGGCGGGTCAGTGGGTAAGAATGTCCCTTACATTGGGGGTCAGTGGGAAGAATGTCCCTTACATTGGGGGTCAGTGGGGAAGAATGTCCCTTACATTGGGGGTCAGTGGGAAGAAAGAATGTCCCTTACATTGGGGGTCAGTGGGAAGAATGTCCTTACATTGGGGGGTCAGTGGGAAGAATGTCCCTTACATTGGGGTCAGTGGGAAGAATGTCCCTTACATTGGGGGTCAGTGGGAAGAATGTCCCTTACATTGGGGGTCAGTGGGAAGAATGTCCCTTACATTGGGGGTCAGTGGGAAGAATGTCCCTTACATTGGGGGTCAGTGGGAAGAATGTCCCTTACATTGGGGGATCAGTGGGAAGAATGTCCCTTACATTGGTGGTCAGTGGGAAGAATGTCCCTTACATTGGGGGTCAGTGGGAAAATGTCCCTTACATTGGTGGTCAGTGGGAAGAATGTCCCTTACATTGGGGGTCAGTGGGAAGAATGTCCCTTACATTGGGGGTCAGTGGGAAGAATGTCCCTTACATTGGTGGTCAGTGGGAAGAATGTCCCTTACATTGGGGGGTCAGTGGGAAGAATGTCCCTTACATTGGGGGGTCAGTGAGAAGAATGTCCTTACATTGGGGGTCAGTGAGAAGAATGTCCCTTACATTGGGGGGTCAGAGGGAAGAATGTCCTTACGTTGGGGGTCAGTGTGGAAGAATGTCCCTTACATTGGGGGTCAGTGGGAAGAATGTCCCTTACATTGGGGGGTCAGTGGGAAGAATGTCCCATACATTGGGGGGTCAGTGGGAAGAATGTCCCTTACATTGGGGGTCAGTGGGAAGAATGTCCCTTACATTGGGGGTCAGTGGGAAGAATGTCCCTTACATTGGTGGTCTAGTGGGAAGAATGTCCCTTACATTGGGGGGGTCAGTGGGAAGAATGTCCCATACATTGGGGGGGTCAGTGGGAAGAATGTCCCTTACATTGGTGGATCAGTGGGAAGAATGTCCCTTACATGGGGGGGGGGGTCAGTGGGTCAGTGGGAAGAATGTCCCTTACATTGGGGGGGGGGGTCCCTTCAGTGGGATGAATGTTCTCCTCACAGATACCTAAAGAGGTATCTGCACACTGAGTGGAATTGCCCTTTGAACCCCTATCAGTCTTTGAAGGATTTTGGCTGACAAAGGTCTCTTTATTCCCATTGGTGGTAGACGGGTGTGTAGAAGAAAACAGTTGTGGGTGTCAGTCCCGCCCTTTCTCAGGTGTAGGGATACAATCCCAGCTCCGTGGAAATGAATGAAGTACGTCATCCACAAACATGAATGGACTCCAATGGAAACATTGTAACCAGCTAAACACAGAGATCATATAATGAACACTAACAAGCCCCGCCCACAGATCTGGTCCATAAACATATCATTATCGGTTCACACCCGATCAATACTTACAGCGCTCCGCATTAAATGACGACGCCTCTTTGGAGAAGGAAGACTTTAATCGATATCTCCATGAACACAAGAACGATCTCCACCATGGGGACAGATCGGAGTTTCATCGAACGTTTGTTCGGCTCCTGACAGGAAGGTTCATAATAGAACTTCGATGACAAAATATTCAGTTTTACTCCAATGAGTTGATGCAGAAATGAATCCCCCCCCCCCCCCCCCCACACAAGAAACTCCTCCATCTAGTATTCTGTATGACCTCCATGATTGGTGAGGACGGCGCCTAGTCTTCTAGGCATGGAATGGAACATGTTGGCGACATATTGTAACATCGATCTTTTTCCATTCTTTGAGAACGACCTCTTTTAGATCCTGGATGCTGGATGGAGAGCGATGCTCAGCTTGTCTCTTCAGAATCCCCCCATAGGTGTTGGATTGGGTTCCGATCAGGAGACAGACTCGGCCCGGAATCCCTTCCCCCCGGTTCTTCTTCATAAATGCAGCAGTGGCCTTAGATGTGTGTTTTGGTTCGTTGTCATGTTGGAGAAGTGCCCGACGACCGAGGCCACGGAGTGATGGGAGCATCTTCTCAATATAGGGCAGTACATCTGTGAATTCATGACACCATCAATGAAATGCATCTCCCTGACACCAGCAGCACTCATGCAGCCCACAGAAGGACACTGCCACCACCATGTTTCACAGTAGGCACCATGCATTTTTCTTTGTACTCCTCCCTTTGTGACACCATACAGTTTTGAAGCCGTCAGTTCCCAAAACATTTATCTTGGTCCCATCACTCCAGAGTACAGAGTCCCAGTAGTCGTTCTTTTTCAGCACGGGCCCTAGCAAAATCTAGGTGGGCATTTTTTGCGCATGGGCTTTAGGAGAGGCTTCCTTCCTGGATGACACCCATGCATGCCATTCCTCTGCAGTGTACTTCTTTAGCGAATTGCAGTGAACTTGCATGGCGATTTTCTTCATCCCTTCTCATTAGAAGATGCTCCTGAGGAGGTGTTAACTTCCGTGGACGGCCTGGATGGCTCTGTGAGATGGTTGCAGTTCCTTCTTTGTTCCATTTCTGTATCACTTTTGCTCCAGTATTCTGACTGATAAGTAAAGCTTTGCTGATCTTCGTGTCGCCTTCACCTTTCTTCTGTAAAGAAATTTTTTTCTTTCTCAGGCCTTGTGACATTTCTTTCCATGTGATGCCATTGCTGACAGCATAACATGGGCGGGGTTTTCTTTGTTAGGTAACGCCCTTTTATAATCACCTGTCTGTTGGACACCTGTTTAATGAATAATTATACTCACCTGGAGCTGAATTCTTGTTCATTAGGATTTTTTTATCTATAATTTAGTTTTGCTCCCAAAACTTTCATCGGGGTGTGTTCATTTTTGCAACATGGTATGGGATGAATTTGTGAGGAAAAATACTTTTTTGAACTGATCTTGTCTGCAAACAATAGCTGGGATTTGTGGGAGGAGTTTGTTGTATCGTGTCCCATAGAAAATGTGGATTCTGAAAGGGAAGGAAAGGTTTTCTGACAGATCTGGTGGTGGACTCGTGTATGCTGAGCTCTGTATATAAATCAAGTTTCAGCAGCATCTCCGCCGTCATTGGCTCTCCTGTGCTGTGTGCGGGAGGAGGATTGCCGTCATTGGCTCTCCTGTGCCGTGTGCGGGAGGAGGATTCCCGTCATTGGCTCTCCTGTGCTGTGTGCAGGAGGAGGATTGCCGTCATTGGCTCTCCTGTGCCGTGTGCGGGAGGAGGATTGCCGTCATTGGCTCTCCTGTGCTGTGTGCAGGAGGAGGATTGCCGCCATGTATCTTCCTGACATCGACTTTAGGTCACAATATTCCGATTGTTCATTGATTGGATGAGGTTGGTCCTCGGATGTGTGTATTCGGATCTGTGAAGAGGTGCAGGGGACATCCAATACTATGTTACACATATATTTCCCATCGCCGATGATCAGTTTCGGAGAATCGGTGGAAATTCAGTATTTCGTCATTGGCTCTCCTCTGTCTTCATCCGATGCAATGGGAACAAATCGGAGAATTCTCGGAATGTTCTTCAGGTGCCTCAAAAAATATTAAGGAGGGAGATTTTCAAACTGAATCTCCACCAAGAATAATTACAGAGCTTGGATGTAGGATTGTCGACATGTTCATCCTGTGGCGGGGCAAGACACCAACTACTGGGGAAATCTCCCCACTGTGGGCGTGGGCAGAGGACACCAACTACTGGGGGAATCTTCTCATTGACATGGGACTTTAGAGACACAAATACTGCGGGGAAATGTTCCCATTTGTGGGAGGTTGAGACACTCAAATATGTGTGAAATCTCCCATCTGTGGGAGGGGCAGAGACATCCAATACTACTGCACAAATCTCCCCATTGATTTGGGAGGGGCCGATGATCACGGAAAATACTGTGGAAATCTCCCCATTGTGGGAGGGGCAGACACAAACTACTGCAGGGAAATCTCCCCATTGTAATGGAGGGGCAGAGGCACAAACTACTGCGGGAAAATCTCGGAATGTTCTTCAGAGGCACCTACTGCAAAAATATTAAAGATTTGGGAGGGGCAGAGACAAATCTCCACCTGCAGGGGAGAATCTCCACCAAGAAATCCCCATTGTGGGAGGGGCAGAGACACCAACTACTGCGGGGAAATCTCCCCATTGTGGGAGGGGCAGAGACACAAACTACTGCGGGGAAATCTCCCCATTGTGGGAGGGGCAAGACACAAACTACTGTGGGAAATCTCCCCATTGTGGGAGGGGCAAGACACAAACTACTGTGGGAAATCTCCCCATTGTGGGAGGGGCAAGACACAAACTACTGGGGGGGAAATCTCCCCATTGTGGGAGGGGCAGAGACACAAACTACTGCGGGGAAATCTCCCCATTGTGGCAGGGGCAGAGACACAAACTACTGTGGGAAATCTCCCCATTGTGGGAGGGGCAGAGACACAAACTACTGTGGGAAATCTCCCCATTGTGGGGGGCAGAGACACAAACTACTGCAGGGAAATCTCCCCATTGTGGGAGGGGCAGAGACAAACTACTGTGGGAAATCTCCCCATTGTGGGAGGGGCAGAGACACAAACTACTGCAGGGAAATCTCCCCATTGTGGGAGGGGCAGAGACACAAACTACTGGGGGGGAAATCTCCCCATTGTGGGAGGGGCAGAGACACAAACTACTGCGGGGAAATCTCCCCATTGTGGGAGGGGCAGAGACACAAACTACTGCGGGGAAATCTCCCCATTGTGGGAGGGGCAGAGACACAAACTACTGCGGGGAAATCTCCCCATTGTGGGAGGGGCAGAGACACAAACTACTGCGGGGAAATCTCCCCATGGCTTTTATTGATAAGACCAGCACCGGAGGGATTCTGGAGCAGCATGGTCCCCAGGAATGGTCTTTCAGTCCCTCTGTTACCCTTTATATATCTAACATTTGTAAACTGAAGGCTCATTTCTCAGATTTGTAGGTAAATGATGCTGTTCTGTCTGAGTCAATGTTTTCCCTGATGTTTGCTGTACCATATTCCATGCCTTTGTTTCTGACACAGACATGTAAGTTCTCCCTGTAAGGGCCGCGCACATTGCATGTGATAATCTTTTATCTGATCAATTGCTGAGATAGAGTCATTGACCTTCTATAGTCCTCCATCCATCTGAGCAGACTTGTACTGAGATGGGGGAAGAGTAATGCACAGTCACTGTGTATCACGGCCAGGGGTGGACTGACAACTCATGGGGCCCCCGGGCAATAGGGGATCATGGGGCCCCTGTGTCCTTGCCCAAACTCAAAAAAGCCTATATAAAAGGTACCAGGGGCATCTCATGGGGCCCCCTACTGACCCCGGGCCCTCGGGCAGTGCCCGAGTTCCCAAATGGTCAGTCCACCCCTGATCACGGCTAGGTAGGAAGCACAGTGTGCCTATGTAACATACAAACATTATGGCCTCATGTACAATGACCAATAGTTTGTGGACACCTGACCATGCCACCCATTTGAGCTTGGTGGACACCCCATTCCAAAACCATGAGCGTTGATATGGAGTTGTCCCCCTTTAAGACTACAACATCCTCCACTTCTAGGAAGTGTTTTCATAAGATTTTGGAGGGTGTCTGTAGGAATTCCATGCCAAAGTGGTTCAGTGCAGTTGAGGTTCTGTGCGAATTTGTACCCATTCAAACAAAAGAGCATTTGAGTTGAGGTCATTGAGGTTAGGAACTGATGTTAGATGAGAAGACCTGGCTCATGGCAGTATAATTCATCAAATTCATTCAGTAGGGTTGAGGTCAGAGCGCTCTGCAGAACGCACAACTTCCTCCACACCAAATTGGTGAAACCATGTCTTTATTGAGTTGCCCCCTTTGTGGCTACACTATCCTCCTCTCATCTGAGAAGACTTTCCACAAGATTTGGAGGGTATCTGTGGAAATTTGTACCCATTTGTGAGGTCAGGTACTGATGTTGGACGAGGAGACCTGGCTCGTAATTGGCATTCCAGTTCATCGCAAAGGTGATTAGTAGAGTTGAGAGATTGTGGAGGTCATTGTGGAGGTCATTGAGGAGCACCGTGTATATATAGAAAGTCTTGAAAACTCCAGCCAGGTGAAAAACAATGATTACTTTATTGGTGTATGACATAAAACATTGCCGTCTTGTTTCGAGGGATTGGGTTTTCCCTTCTTCGGGGGTTTGGTGGTATTAGATCTGTAGGTCATGGAGACGGTAGTCTTTGTACTACTATGATATTGGTGTTCTTAACTATCTGTTATGCCTATAACACCCTCCAATCTTTTGGGATGACTTTCTATGAGATTGTGGAGGGTGTCTATGGGAATTGGTGACCATTTGTGAGGTCAGATATTGATGCTGCATGAGAAGATCTGGATCACAATTGGTGTTCCTATTCATCCCAAAGGTGTTCAGTAGGTCTGAGGTCAGGGTTCTGTTCAGGACACTCAAGTTCCTCCACTCTGAACTGGTCAAACCATGTCTTTATGGAGCTGGCTTTGTACATGATCGTGCTGAAGATGAAAAGAACCTCTCCGAGACTGATGCCACAAGTCTGGAAGTGCAAGGGGAGGCTAGAACCTCAGTCATTCAAAAGAGAATAATTGAGGTCAAGTACTGATATTGGATGAGCTCCTCCACACACCAAACTGGTCAAACCATGTCTTTATGAAGCTGGCTTTGTATGTACATAGGGCACAGTCATGGTGAAATAGAAAAAAAAATAAACAAACGTTGGAAGAGCACAGTTGTCTACAATGTTTTTGTATGATGGAGTTTTACCCGGACCCTTCACTGGAGACACCTGAACTCAATAATCTGGAGTGGTGTCCACATATGTTGGGCCATGTAGTGTACCACTTTGGAGTGGGGACCTTTCTTGAATTTTTCAATGTGTGTTATATATGTAGAGCTACCATTAATGGTAGAGATCTTTAGTCCGGAGCCTGCAAATACAGAACAGATGTCGGATGAGAAGACTTAGCTCACAATTGGGGTTCAGTAGGGTTGAGGTCAGGGCTCTGTGTGGGACAATTGAGCTCCTTCACACTAAACTGATCAAACCATGTCTTTGGGGAGCTGGTTTTGTGGACACCTGATCATCACACATGTATGAACTTGTAGGACATCCTAGTCCAAACCCATGGCCAATAATATGGAGTTGGCCCCACTCTGAGACTATAACATCCTCCATTCTTCTAGGAAGACTTTCCACAAGCTTTTGGAAGGTGTTTGTGTGAATTTTTGCTCATTTGTGAGGTTAGGCACTGATGTTGGATGAGAACACCTAGCTCGTATGTTGAGCCCCACATTGGGCACCAAAAACATTTTTTTTTTATCCACCATCGGTGTTCCAATTTATCCCAATGGTTTTCCGTAGGATTGAGGTCAGGGCTTTGTGCAGGACACTCAAGTTCCTCCACACGAAATTGGTCAAACCATGTCAAAATTTTGTGGGAAGCCTTTCCAGAAGAGTAAAGCCAGCTCTGGCGTGTGGAGTGCGTCTGTGGGAATTTGTGTCCAATCAGCCAAAGGAACATTTGTGAGGTCAGGTTCTGATGTTGGATGAAAAGACCTGGCTCACCACCGGCATTCCATTTCATCCCAAAGGTGTTCAGGAGGGTTGAGATCAGCACTCTGTACAGGACATTCGGGTTCCCCCACACCAAATGTCTTTCATGGAGCTGGCTTTGTACGCAGGGGACAGTCATGGGGGAACAGAAAAGGGCCTTCACCAAACTGCTACCACAAGGTTGGAAGAGCACAATTGTCTCCAATGTCTTTTTATGATGGAGGATTACTAGGAACCTTCACTGGAGACACCTGAACTCCATCATTTGGAGGAACACATACATTTGGCCATAAAATATAAATGTGTTTTTATATATATATAACAAGCTCAGCATAGGAAAAGAATGAAATTATTCCGAGATTTGAACGGGATGATCTCCCATATGCAGCGCACATTGACATGTATTGCTGTAAATTCTAAAGAAGCCTTTCTGGTCCCTGTCACAGGGATGGGCCTGCACCACGCTTCCCCATACATCTCCATATCCAATGATCTGTGCCATCACACCTGTCAGCTCCACATTATTATCTGCTATATGTGTGCATTGCATCGCCTCCCTGTATGTACCTGTCACACCTCTGGATCATTGTGTATTCTCTGTGTTCCGAGTCCTTTTCATGATATTTCTTCTCTGTCTCCTCCTCTCCTCTCCTTGCTCCCCCCCTCCCTGGCTCCTTTCCTCCCTCCATCCTTCTCCTCCTTTCTCTCTCTCTCACTCTCTGCTGTCTCTCCTGTGCCCCTCTCCTCCCTCCCCTGTCACAGCTGTAGATCTGTGCTCTTCTCCTGGGTTCCTGTGCTAATTATGTGAGTCCTGGGGGGAGCTTGTGGAGAGAAGCTTCACAGTCAGAGCATCTATCTCAGGGAGCAGCAGAAGTGTGTGTGTGACCAGGGCGGTGGAGCTGGCAGGAGAATGTGATGACCAGCTGGATCCTGGGGACAGTACATGGAGCCTGGCACACCGTATGTACATGCTGGGATATGGCCATTGTCTGCTGGTGGGGTGGTGGTGGTGGGTGGTGGTTGGGGGGGGGGGGGGGGTTGGCTGGATGTGCACTGGCTATGGCTATGGGGGAGTTGTGTGTGGCTGGATACTTTGTATCATTGGTGAGTGTACCTGGGATACAATGTATCAGGCAATCTGGTGCAGGTAGAGGGGCTGCTGGCTGCCTATGGGGCTATGTGTGCATCAAAGAGGAATCTGTTTCATCAGGGAGAACCTGGACCAGGTGGAGGGGCTGGAGACCATCTATTGGGGTTCATACAATATGTATGTAATAAATAGAATTCTATGTATCCGAGAGCCTGGACCAAGTAAGAGGGGCTGATGACCACCTATGGGGGTCTCTATGCTATGAGGATAATAAATAGAATTGTATGTACCAGAGAGAGCGTGGACCAGGTAGGGGGTTGGTGGACCACCAGGTAGAGGGGGGGATCACCTCTCTACACTATGAGTATAATATATTGAATTGTATGTATCAGAGAGAGCCTGGACCAGGTAGGGGGCTGATGACCACCTATGGGGGTCTCTACACTATGAGGATAATATATTGAATTCAGAGAGAGCCTGGACCAGGTAGGTTGGTATCAGAGAGATTGTATGCAGAGAGAGCTGGACCAGGTAGGGGGTTGGTGACCACCTATGGGGGTCTCTCTCGTATGGTAACAAGACTATGGAGGGCTGATGACCATATACACTATTGAATTGAATTGTATGTATCAGAGAGAGCCTGGACCAGGTAGGGGGTTGGTGACCACCTATGGGGTCTCTACACTATGAGGATAATATATTGAATTGTATGTATCAGAGAGAGCGTGGACCAGGTAGGGGGTTGGTGACCACATATGGGGGTCTCTACACTATGAGGATAATATATTGAGTCATATGTATCAAAGAGAGCCTAGACCAGGTAGAGGGGCTGATGACCACCTATGGGGGTCTCTACACTATGAGGATAATATATTGAATTGTATGTATCAGAGAGAGCCTGGACCAGGTAGAGGGTCTGTAACCACCTATGGGGGTCTCTACCCAATGAGTATAATAAATAGAATTGTATGTACCAGAGAGAGCCTGGACCAGGTAGGGGGCTGGTGACCATCTATGGGGGTCTCTACCCTAT